GCAGGGAGAGTATCAGGGACTATCTAGAGACACAGAGCAAGAGGTGAATATAGGGAAATGTTTGTCTCGGGGTTTCTGTTGCTGTGATAAATACTGTGACCAAAGGCAACCTGGAGAGGAAAGGCTTAATTTCAGCTTCCACCTACACAGCACAGTCCATCCCTTAAAGAAATCAGGGCAGGAACTCAAACAGGCCAGGAACCTGGAGGCAGGAGCTGATGCAGAGGCCATGGAGGGATGCTGCTTGCTGATTTGCTCCTCATGACTTGCTCAGCCTGCTTTCTTATAGAACCAAGAACCACCAGCCCAGGGATGACACCACCCACCACGGGCTAGGCTCTCCCCCATCAATCACTAAATAAGAGAATGTCCCACAGGCCTGCCCAGCAGTCACTGTGGTAGGGGCAATTTCTCGGCTAAGGTTCTCTCTTCCAATATGAGTCAAGCTGCCATAAAACTAGCCAGCCCAGTATTTTACAACAGTTCTCATGGGAAAAGATGGGCAAGGTGGGGTAAGCAGGTTATTAGGTTGAATATCTGATACTTCAAATTATTTTGTTAGATTCTGGGTTCTAAGACTTTCTGGTACCTGATCCTGGGATAATTAAGGCAGGAGAGACAGAATAAAAGACACCTCAAGAGAGTAAGAGACAATTTATTTGGAGCCAAATATGAGTGACCATGGCCCAGGAACATGGATTCAAGTTGCTCTGTGAAAATGGTTACATGACCTTTTATTAGTAACAAACAAAACAAAGGCATAAATCAAGACATTTACAAATATGCTGGTTAAGGACAGCCAGTGGACAGCTTCCATTCAAACATGGGCGGGGCAGGGAGGGGCCTTCTGCCATGGGTTTCAGATGTTGTCTGATAACATTCAGCTTTTGGGGTGATATCCAATGGCCTACTAAGAATACATTCCAAAGGTTCTACCTGCTAGTCACAGGATTTTAGGCCAGACAGAAGTGGGCATAGATGGTTATTAAGAGACCCAAAGAGAGGCCAAGACAATGTGATTCTGGTTTGCAACATTCCACAATAGCAAAGTTTTAAGCAATCAGCCTTGAAGACTCTTCAACAGAAGTGGGACTTTGTTCTAGGAATTCAATTTACAGGAAGGTGATGGAAATTAAATTCTTTCAAGATTCATTTTGCTTTTATTTTATATGTCTGGGTGTCTGTTTAGGCATATCAATGTGAGTACCCACAAAAGCCAGAAAAGAGTGTCGGATTCCCTAGAACTGGAGTCACAGAGGTCTGAGAGATGATGTGGATACTGGATACTGAACTGAGGTTCTCTGCAAGAACTGCAAACGCTCTTAACCACTGAGGTATCTGTCCAGCCCCTGGGCATTAAGTTTTTGAGGCAGAAGAGATGATGAGGAAAGAAATAAATTTAAAGGGACTATCAGACTTTTGTCTGAATAACAGAATGACAATTGGTCACACTCTGGATGGGGGAAAGCTTGGGAGAAGAACAAGAGTCATTAGTCATGGTAAGGGGGAATTCGATGTGCAGTATCTAAAGGGAAATAAATAGTTAAAAATATAAAGAGAGGTCAAGTCCAAAGTTGTCTGTTTAGAAGTCACAGATGCTAAAGAAAGTTTCCAGAGTGGGCAAGAGATCTGACTATGTCAATAATGCTGATATTTTGAGTAAAATGAAGACTGAAAATTAATCACTGTGTTTCATAATGTGGTGATATTGATGATTTGGAGTGAAAGGGATGAGTGGAAAGAATGCTATGGACAAACAGGGGAAACTGGAGATAAGAGAGAGAAACACCTTCCGGTGTAGTGCCCATTCCTATAATTCTAACACTTGGAAGACTAAAGCAGAAGGATTGACACAAGTTCAAGACCATCCTAGGCTACATAGCCACATAGCAAGACCCTGTCAGGGAAAAAGTAACGGCAATTGTCCAGCTACACTTTGATGCCTAACTGCATGGCACCAAACATTCAGAGGAAAGTCTAGGCTACTTTAAATAGCACCTCTCTTCTCACAGGGCCAGGGGGCCTGGGGTTGCTAATGCTTCTGATATCAGAAAATAACTGATAAGGTCCCTGTGCTCTTGGGATTCAGACAGGGTGGGGTGGAAGGATGGAGGAAACAGGAAACAAACTAACAGAAATATATAATGTGAATAATTATGAAGATTTGAAAATGTATGTTGAAATGTGTGGTGAAGGTTGATGGCTGATGAATGCGGGGTGTTCCTGGAATGCTTCCTGGGAGACGCAGCACAAGGCAGCCTTCCTCATATCATGACTAATGTCTGGGCTGTTCATCAAGGTGAACCAAAGTTAATTTGGGATGGGGCTTGGAAAATTATCTGCATAGAAAACTCTGTTGAAGCCGGGCGGTGGTGGCGCACACCTTTAATCCCAGCACTTGTGAGGCAGAGGCAGGTGGACTTCTGAGTTCGAGGCCAGCCTGGTCTGCAGAGTGAGTTCCAGGACAGCCAGGGCTACACAGAGAAACCCTGTCTCGAAAAAAAAAAAAGAAAAAAAAGAAAAAAGAAAACTCTGTTGAGATTTTTACTACATAATTATAAGGAAACTAAAATTCATGCCACTAGAGAAGTGTTTAAATATTGGTTTATGCAATAGTTCAAATACTGTGTAATAGTTTAAATATTGATTTATGTAATAGTTCCCAAACACAGCTTGTGTCTGTAAACATAATTTTTACAATAGGTTTTATACCTGAAAAAGAGCACACCTTTAATCTCAGTACTTGAGAGGCACAAGCAGGTGAATTCTCTGTGAGTTCGTAGCTAGCCTGATCTCCATAGCAAGTTCCAAGCCAGCCAAGGTCACATGGTGAGACACTGTCTCAAACAACAAAAAATGATAATGTTGGGAAATTCTTCGTTAGTGATGAAAAGTGTTTTATATCAATCCATTCTTTCTTAGCATCAAGTATTGCAGAATAATAAATGCCAGAAAGTATAGAAGATGTGTGCATGAATTGCTATGTGTCTGTCAGCTTAGATATTTGATGAATCGCTATCTAACAGCTTAGAAACTTGAGTGGGACATGACAGCAGATAGAAGACAATTATATCTATGAACAAGGGAACAGAAGCCAATGATCTCCATAGAAAATGAGCCCTCAGGATGTCCAGGGGTTCACCACCTCCAACATCTGAAAGACTCACTGTAAGCTTGCTCTGTGTTCTTATTGACCAGACACTGACTCTATCTGAAACTAAATCTTTGGGTCAAATTTTCAGGCATCTTGATACATTGCTAAATCACAAGTCTCACCTCCTCCTTGTTCAACTGAGGAAAAGTGACTCACATTTATCTTAACTTTCCCACCTTAAAAAAAAAATTATCAAGGGGCTAGAGAGATGCCTCAGTGGTTGGGAACACTGACTGCTCTTCCAGAGGTCCTGAGTTCAATTCCAAGCAACCACATGATGACTCACAGCCATCTGTAATGGGATTCAATGCCCCGTTCTGGTGTGTCTGAAGAGAGCAACAGAATACTCACATGTATAAAACAAATAAATAAAAAAATATCAAAATATCTATCTATACCTGCCTCATACTTCCTTTTCCTCAGCCATTTAACCTAAACTCTTTCCTGATCCTTAAATGACTTTCCTGCCCTGAAATTTGTAGGGAGAGGATCTCCATTGGGCTATAAAACATATTGAAAATTCTTGTGGAGAGAAATTTGGCAAATATATATTAAAAAAAATATTACTCAGCAATCCTGTTTCTGGAAAGTATACTGGAGAAAATATAGATAAATACAAAGATGGGTGTGACAACATTTATGTCAATGTCCATGACAGAAGTTAGCTGCAGTGACAGGGCATTTCTTAAGGTTATAGTACACCCACATTGTAGAATATGACAGAGACTTTGAAAGTACATTGAAGAAATCATGACACAATGTTGAAATGTAGTTCAATGAAGTAGAAACTGTTGAAACACAGTTTAGACAATATAATCTTATTTTTATTTTTTATGAACATGAGTGTATGTAAATGCAGAACAAAGGCAAGTGGCACTAATTTCTCACAGACATTATTAACATTTTGTTTATAGTTATATTTTCCTCTGTATATAAATTTCTTGCAACTAGCAGTGCTACTTTTTACAAACTGGGAAACTCAAGGCTGTTTCCAGGCATAAATCTATAGTTCTTGAGCACCTGCCTCTGCTACCCCCTGTGTGTGAATAACAGCTGAAAGGGGTTCAGGAAAAAGCAATAGCTCAGTTTCCAAGAAAAGCGAGATGTACTAGATACATCCAACCAAGAACCGACTTGGACACCAGGTAAAATAGTAAATAGTTGGTTTCAAGAACTTAGGGCTACCTCAGACTTCAGACCAGAGTCCAGGGGATACAGAGATGTGTGCTCTACCTGAGACCAAAGGAGGGAATGAAAATCATGTCTTTGAAGGCAGTCGAGAGGAAGTCAAGTAAGGAACATCAGGTGTTAGGGGTTAGTCAGGACACAGATAACTAACTAGACCAAGCCTACAGCACTACCAAGCAAGACTCGGGAGCTGAACTTGCAGGCTAACTTAGCAACTCCCTGTCCCTGTCCCCGTCCCTGTGTGCCCAGCAGGTGTAAATGATGTCAGGGAGAAATGCTTACAATAAGGACTCACTGGCAAAAACTGGAAGATAAATATCTCAAGAACATATACCTAAGAAGGTACGGAGGCCTCAGCCTTCCTCAGGAGTTACACCATCACACAGGGTCATCTCAGCCGCCTTCCCTTGACCTCTGTTCCAGTGTGTGTTCCCTCAGCTCTTCTCTTAGACTGATGCACAGTCAAGGCTTATCAAAAGGTCCCAGAAGCTGAGCTCTGAACAATGTAGCTGTGTCTTGGACACTCATACTGGATGAAACACACCAACACAGGCTGCATGCACCCTGTGGACTACCGGTCTCAGCTTCTCTTTTTCCTTGTGAATGTCCAGGAATCAGGCTCTGAGCTCCAAGATCTTGGGAAGAAGGTAGCATGTGGTCAAGGACCCCAAAGGTATCTCTTCATGAGCCTCCTCATGGCCCCTGTGACCTCCTTGTTCCTCAGACTGTAAACAAAAGGGTTGCACATGGGGGTGACAACTGTGTAGAACAAGGTAAGGATCTGATCTGTGTCCCCCAAAGGAATCTGCCTGAGGCCTCATATAGGCAACAGTCCCAGTCCCAAAAAAGAGAATGACCACAAACAAGTGGGAGGAGCAGGTAGAAAAGAGCTTCTGACGACTCTGGGATGTGGCAACACCAAGGATGGTGGCAAGAATACAGGCATAAGAGGCCACAATCAATAAGAAAGGGACGAAGATGAAACTTATTGTGACAAAGAGGTTCCCCACTTCACCCCAGAAAGTGCTTGCACTAGCCAATCTAAGCACAGGCAGGATATCACACAGGAAGTGATGGATGGTGTTGGCCCCACGGAAAGGCAATGTGAAGATGAAGATAGAGTGAGTGGTGCCTGAGATGATGCCCGCAAGATAAGAGGCCCCCACCAAAACTGTACAGGTTCCCTGGCTCATCAGGGTAGTGTAGTGCAGTGGACAGCAGATGGCAGCATACCGGTCATAGGCCATGGCAGTGAGCAAGCAGCATTCAGCAATGCCAAACAGGGCAAAGAAATATAACTGAGTGAAGCAGCTGGCAAGGGGGATGGTGGGGCAGGAAGACCGCAGGTCAGCCAACATCCGAGGCACAATGGTAGTGGTGTAGAGGATCTCCACCAGGGAGAAGTGACGCAGGAAGAAATACATAGGGGAGTGGAGCGCAGAGTCTGCCAGCGTAAGGAGGACGATCAGAGAGTTGCCCAGCAAGGTAACAACATAGATACACAGCACACCCCAGAACAGGTGGCTCTGGAGAAAGCCAAAACCCGAGAACCCCAATAAAATAAACTCTGTTACGTCTGTATCATTATCATCCCCCATTTCCCCAAAGCAGACTAGGAATTAAAAAATTAAAAAGAGGAACCAGAGAGGGGTTGCCAGCTGGAGACAAAGGCTGCAACAATAGGGATGAAGATGCGTCCATGAGAGCAGCCTAGCTTGCTGAAGATGCTGAAGAGGATGCTGAGGAAGATGCTGAGGAGGATGCTGAAGATGCTGAAGAAGATGCTGAGGAAGATGTTGAGGATGCTGAAGAAGATGCTGAGGATGCTGAAGAAGATTCTGAAGAGGATGCTGAGAATCTCTGCTGCTGCTGACTCCCACCCAGAGAACACACCTCGGGAAGAGGAAGAAAAACCAGACACTGAAAGATCTTCCTGCTCTTTCGGGTTTTCTTCACACAAGCTTTGTCCCACTCACCCAGGGGATGGGAGCAGAGACTGGGGACAAAAGCAGCTTCCTTCAAGAAAGCGGGTGAGCAGACAGAAAACAAATAATCTGGCAGAAGAAAAGAGCGTCCACCTGGAGGCAGAAAGTGGGGGGGGGGGGAAGCAAGAGCAGGAGACAGGAACACAGAATTGAGGACCAGAGGGCTATGGATGTTTTTACCTGCAGGTGGATCCCCTCAGCCCTCAGGGTTCCTCTCCCTGGAGCACATCACAGCAGTTCAATTCCCTGCAGAGCTGATCCTCACAGAGTGCAAAGGGAGGAGAGTGGGGGAAGATGGAGAAGATGGAGGAACTGGCTTCCTCTTCTTGGTGCCTAACTGTAAGCTCCCTGCTGTTGGGCCTTGGCCTGGCAGGTCCTCCTCACACCCACACACAAAGGAGAAACCACATGTGAAGGAGACTGCTGTATATAGAGCCCTCCCTCTAAGCATGGATGGAGCTGGGCTCAGAAGCCAGGTGCTCTCACCCATTTCTCTAGGTAGGACTTCCAGCCATTGCCCCGGGGGCTGCCTACCGCCTTTCCCACTCTCAGAATTGGTGCCTAGCATTCCTTCTGTTCCTGTTCTGTTTCTCCCGGGGCTGGAGACCTTGTCAATTTTGGCAGGCTCCTTCCACTAGACTGTACCCGTAGCACTCTTCATTCCTAGCAAGCATTTGTAAGTCCTTTTGTAAAACATAACTAGTTCCCAAAGAAAAGAACTATTGAAATAACAAGTTGATTCTAGGACAACTCCCAATCCAACTGAGGGTTTTGACCCACCTTCCACCTGCTGAAGGAAAAAGTATTTGAATGTCTCTGAATGTCAGAAATGGGAAAATACTTTTGAGATCTCAGCTGGAAAAGATGACATTCCCTAGGGCACATGACAGAGGTGACCTGAGAGGATTTCTTTTTTGGGAGGCAGAGGTAGGCAGATATCCAGCCTGGCCTACAGAGTTCCAGGGCGGCTAGAGCTACACAGAGAAACCCTGTCTCGAAAAACAAAACAAAACAAAAAAATCCAAGGGAAGCAATCCAGTAAGCAGCATCCCTCCGTGGTCTCTGCATCAGCTTCTGCTCCAGGTTCCTGCCCTGTGTGAGTTTCAATCCTAACTTCCTTTGGTGATGAACAGCAATGTGGAAGTATAAGCTGAATAAACCCTCTCCTCTCCAATTTGCTTCTTAGTCATGATGTTTTGTGCAGGAGTAGAAACCCTGACGAAGACAGTTTTCAAGACAGTTTTCTCTGTGGAGCTCTAGCTGCCCTGGAACTCTGTAGGCCAGGCTGGATATCTGCCTGCCTCTGCATCCCAAATGCTGAAATGAAAGGCATATGCCACCATTTCCTGGCCTGGCCTCTGTCATAGATAGAGTTTCTATTGCTGTGATAAAATTCCATGACCAAAAGCAACTTAGGGAAGAAATGGTTTATTTCGTCTTACAACTCTCTAGTCAGACTATCACTGAGGGATATCAGAACAGGAACTCAACAGGAAGTGAAGCAGAGGCCATAGAGAAATGCTGCTTACTGGCTTACTCCAATCATACTTACTTCCCGGTTCTCCTAGGTCCACCCTCTCCTTGTGACCTCCTCCAAGAAAAAGAAGAAAAAATAAAGAAAGAAAATACCCAGCCCACTTTGTGTTGCCTAAATACTCACTGGAGCATGATCAAACTTCCAGTTGATTTTGTGGTTCAGCAGTTAAGAGCACCAGCTGCTCTTCGAGAGGTCTTGAGTTCAAGTCCCAGCAACCACATGATGGTTCACAGTCATCAATAATGGGATTTGATGTCCTCTTCTGGCACATAGGTGTACCTGCAGATAGAGCACTCATATACATAAGTATATAAACAATTTTTAATGTTTATATATATGATACATTGATCATACAGTACTAAAAATAGTACATAAAATATTACCACAAAATGGTATTTCTCGTCTTTTTATTTATTTTATGTGTATGAGTGTTTGGCCTGTATGTATGTATGTGCACCATGTATGTGCACAGTGCCCTCAGGGGTCAGGAGAGGGCGTTGGATTCACTGCAACTGGAGTTATAGAAGGTTGTAAACCTCTATGTGGGTGCTGGGAACCAAACTCAGTATCCTTCCTGATCCTCCTCTGGTGTTCACCGCAGCCTGGTAAGATATCCACAAGCAAAACCCAGAGTGGCCGATGCTTGTGTTGTCCAACTTTATGATGTTTAACATTTCTGTAACTGCCAATTAGAATTAGCTATAAATAAAAAACAAGGGGTAGAGCCTGAAAACTTAGTCAAAAAGGGAAGTGTAGCCAAGTGTGGTGGTGCATGTCTTTGATCCTATCACTCAAGAGAAGAGGCAGGTAGATCTCTGAAGTTCGAGACCAGCCTAGCCTGATCTGTGTAGAAAGTTCCAGGATAGACAAGGATTACATAGTAAATCCTATCTCAAAAAATGGGAATGATTTGTTCAGGTTTATTTTGCTACAGGGGTGAAGGTTCCTGAAAAAAAAAAAATCTGCAAAATTCTGGAGCAGCACATTTGAAGGTCCAACCAAATGAAAACACATCACTCCCATGGAGTGAACCTCCAAGTAACCCTCTCACTCTTCTTCTCCCCGAGCTGTGTATGATGAAAAGATGGCAGAAGAAGAATCTGCAAACATGTCCTGCCCAATGACTTCTAACTCTACAGTGGGGGGGAACTGGAGTCAAAAAAAAAAAATTTGTTCTCCAGTTATTATACAGTGAACCAACACCAGTACCTCTACCAAGTGTAAGGCATGGGCACACAGCTAAGTTCCCTCACGCAAGCCTAGTACAGTATAAATACTCTTACTGTGAAGATAAAGAAGTGGGGTAATGGAGATGAAGGTCTGTGTCTGAGGTCACACACCTTAACATAAACAGAGCCAAAGAGCAAACTCCATCTATCTGTTCCCAAAGTCAGTGTAAGCGAAATTTGCAAACCCAGCTTCCAAATCCAGTGTTTAGCCTTACAGGCTCTGTAATGAGTCTGCTCCTAGATCACAGAAGTCAAATGCCTCGGAGACATCCGATCTAAGGGCATCATCTTAAAGAAGAGGACAGACTTGGACAAGGGTCACGTTTATCTTCAGTCTCCAGTGTGAGGGCTAGGGCTGGAACCAAGTCTCTAGGTTTCTCATTATGTGTAAACACTTTCTTACAGTACTTCTGGTGCTACAACATGTTCCAAGATTGTCTTCTGCATTTCCTTCTCTTGTAATAGGATCAACTACTTTAAAAAAAAAAAAAAGGATAGCATTGCCATATATTGAAAATCAAAGAAACCCTAGATATCAGATCTGAATTGTTAGAGCTGTTATTTGTGTTTAGTTAAATAACGAATTACTATAACAAAATATCTGACATATCAAGACTATATTATTATTTATTCAGAATGAGTAAGAAGAATCGGAAGGTGTATAAGGGCTGGCCATCTGTACTAACCTTACACCTATAGTAATTCCTAGAATATCACTGTATTGGCTTTACCAGTGACTCATTATTTTCTTCCTACTTTTATGGGCTCAATCTGTTTTTTTTTTCAATGACCATGAGCAACAACATTGCTTATATACAGGATAAATATTCCATTATGATGAACGATCTGCTTCTGCAGAATTTCATATTTCTTATAAGAAAAAAAAGCCTCTAGGTTTCTGAGCTAATGCCCTCTGTAGGCTTCCATTCTTCCTACCCACCTTCTGTAATTCTATATGTGGATGTGTGTCAACATGCAAGTAATGAAACATAAATGTGCATGTGCACATGCATACATGTGTCTTTGCTAAGACATTAACTGCACAGCTAAGACCAGTAATGCCTGTCATCTATAGGACATAGTCACATATGCACTCATGCAAGTCTAGTGCAATGTAAATACATCCACTGTGCTGATTAGGAAGCTGGGGAGACAGAGGTGAAGTACCTTGTCTGAGGTCTCACAGCCTCACAGGAAGCCCCAGAGAAATTCCCACCAGAAACAGTAGCCTCTCCAGCCAGCACCAGAGTTCGAGGTTGGAGACCAGGATCAAAGATTAAAAGGAGTGAGGGGGAATGAGTGGTATGCATTACTACTGGGACCCCATGAGTCTGAGGGTGCTTCATCCAGTGCAGGATCCCTGAAACATACTCTCTAATGTCCAGGATGCAAGGATCAGAGGGCCACATGAGCCTCCACTCCCCGAGAAACAGGCATCATACAAATGAGCAAAGTTCAAGCCACAAGCCTCTGCAGGACAGCAGCCTCAGGCACAGGACTCAGTGCTCCACAGATTGTGTTGGAGAACCGAAGAGGACACAGGCAATGACCGCATAAGGAGAGAGGAAAGTATTATTACTGAGTTAGAGTCAAAGCCTGGGCCCCGGACAAGCTAGGCTGGGCTACCCATCCTCTGTAGGCCAATTAGGCAGACAAGTAATAGAGAAAATCCAAAAAAGGAAAGCAGTGTGACCACACTGGGGAGAGGAACAGAGAGATCAAGTCTGTCATTGAGATTCTGAGATGAGGGTTAAGTAGAAGGCGAGGGGCATGCGCAACTAAGCAGTCCTGGTCAAGATGCAGTCCCTCCACCACCAGGGGCTCAGCCCCAACCTGTCTTACAGGGT